TGTGCAAACGGCGTCAGTTTGTAGGTTTACGTTTGAGCATAGTGTTGTGTTTCTTTTACTGTTATTTTGTTCCACCTGCGAAGTTCTGGGCGTCCTTCAACATCTTGAAACGATGAAAACATTGAAAAAATCCATCAAAAAAGTGTTAAGACGTCTGCGAGAGGATGTGCGAAGGAAACGCCCAGAACTTTGGCAATCAGGTGACTGGTTCCTTCATCATGACAACGTCCCCACACACGCGGCATTACGAGTGACTCACTATTTGGCCTCTCGGGGATGGCCTGTCATTCCCCAACCTCTGTATTCACCAGACCTAGCCCCGTGCAACTTTTTTCGGTTTCCGAGAATGAAGAAAAATCTAAAAGGGAAGCGTTTTGATGATATGGAGGTGATAAAAACAGCTTCGCTAAGGGCACTGGACGATATCAAGGTTGAAGAGTTCCAGAGATGCTTCAAACAGTGGGGAAAAAGACTTGACAAGTGCATCGCATCTAATGGAGAGTACTTTGAAGGTGACTGAAGGAATTTTGTAAAAAAGTTAATAAATAAAGTTTTTATACAAAAAATCCGGTTATTTTTGGGTCCCCCCACGTATACAATTGTGAAAACCCTGGCTAGTTAAATTCGACGATTTCAATTTTAATTTTTTAGTCAAAAAAATAAAGGGAAAAAGTACTCCATTTCACAAATGCAGTCAAGGAACTTCATAATAAAAATGAATTACACTTCATGCCAACTTTTAAATATATAATAATTACATTTGAGTGTTGTGGCATTACCAGTAGCCACTTTTAGAGTATAAGGGTGTTTGCTAGAACTTTCAGTAGCATAAAGTTACCATCATCAGACAAATATCAAATACAACTGCTATCAAATTTTAAACTTTCAAACAGCTTTATGAAATTAAATAAAGCACATGGATGGAATACCAAAATGAATTTGAAATAGAGCAATGTTCTAAAATTATGAATGGCATTACGAAAGATGTAATTTTCCCAAAAATACATAGTGAGCAATAGCAAGATGCGAAAAGGAATTAAAATTATAGATTGAATTGCTTGAATAATGTTATCCATAATTGTGGGATTTCAAGGGTTGGTGTGTTGCACGGTGTTATAGCAGGTATGTAGAGGTTCTCCGTCCATTATTTGATGCACCATTTGAGTAATTTTGTTTGGGCCCAGAGTGGATGATAATCTTGGTCAAACAGTTTTTTAACTAATTCCATTGATGGTCTACTGTTTCTGATATCCTTCTGATGTTTTAGGATGCGAGAACTTAACATTTTGGCCATGGCCCCTATGTAGCTAGTTTCTTCTCTGATAGAGCATGTTTTAGTGGAATTTAATAGACCCAAATTTTTCATTCAATTTAAATATATCTCTGCTGTTGCATAATAGTCTTCTTAGAGTTGGTTGTGGTGTTATCGGTAAAATAAAACCATTCTTTCTAAAAAGATGTACTATTTTTAGAGATAGGGCCTAAAAATGGTATCGGAGGATGTGCTCTTTTTAGATCCGTTTTGTTACTAAGAAATGACTGCAGAAATAGGTTATTTTTGACACAATTTTGGAGAAGATGAAATTTAGAAAGAGAATATCCAGCTGTTTGCATTGCTTTGTTAATGATTTGCAATTCTTCATCCACTAGTGCTTGGGTGGAAGAGAGCACGAATGCCCTCTGAATGAGGGATGATATACCAGAATTCATGAAGTTTAACGGTTGGAAGGCTGTAGCAGGGATAATTCATGTTGCTTTGTTGTTTCTATGATGAACAGAAAATAGAAGATCAGGAGATGTATGAATTTCTAGATCTAAGAATGAGATTCTGGCATTTTGTTCTTCCTCTACAGTGAAATTGACCGAAGGATAAACAGAGTCCAACGATTGAATAAATTGCTGTAAATCATTAGAACTTTTCCGTGTGAATAGTATGTCATCAATATAACATAAATACATAATTGGATAATGGATGGTCAAGGGGCATTGAAAATATAATGTTCTATATTCCTCATAATAAGCTCTGCCAAAATAGGTGATAATGGTACTCCCTGTGTCCGTTTATATATTTTGCCATTAAATTAAAAGTAATTGTTTTTTGTAATGAAAAGAGAGCTTCACGCAAATGTAATACCAGAGTTGAACAGCAGGGTATTTGCAAGCATGACGGCCTCGAAATATGGTACTGATGGATATAAGGAAATTACATCAATTTTGTACAATTAGTATGAGTTGGTGGAAAGGTTTTTCTAATTTGTCTAAGATGACTGATTTAGCATCCATAGAGGCAGCAGTCACAAAGTCAGAAGGTGGAATTAAAGCAGTAATTTGTTTTGCTAGTGCAGATTCTTAGTAGTATATGGGTGGGAGCATTTGTTGACTAAAGATCTTAAAGGCCATGTAGTCCATGTAGTTTTATGCATTTTGGCCTTGAAGAATAATCTATGGCAAGCAACATTCATTGGTGGATTGAGAGGATCTACTAAGGAAGCTATAATTCCTGGAAGTGCTATAACTTTACGTGTCTTTCTTAATATTGTAGTCATAGGATCCTGTTTTAGTATAATAGACTTGGATTACTCAAGGAATTCATTGGCTCTTGATAGGAAGTCTTGGTTTTTGCATAAAACAAATCTTTTGTCTTTATCTGCAATTAGTAGATTTAAATGATCGGATGCGAGGAATGACTTTACTATCCGAGTCGTCATCATATTCACTTTCCTCATTTTTGAACATTGCTGCAATGCCATGGTAATCACCATAGATAGCTTCAAGTGTAATTCTGGACGGCTGGTGTTCTTTATGGCCACCATGGTGGGAGGAATGAGTTGTGAATAATCAAGCCTAGCAGTAGGTATATATTTTGGCCTCTGTATTAATGTTTGATGAATATTTTCTGGTAACTTGATATTTGCAAAGTTGTAATATGAAACCTCCATTGTACTGGTTTGTTTTTGGCTAGAAGTTTTCTGTAACCAATGAAATTTTTTGCTCAGTTTTTTCCTGATCTCACATGCTTTTTTGTTGGTTATATCTCTTATTTTATCCAATTCTTGGTATAGAGTTTTTGCATCACACTCTTTTACAAAGCATAGATGGGTCAGGTACAACTTTTTTCTTTTTATGCTATTGCTTTACGTTTGCTCTTAATTTTGTTAGAAGACTTTGTTCAATTAGAGGTAACAAGATTCAAACTTCTGTAGGAAACGAGTCGTACTTAAGAGCTATGCATTTGGAGATGAGACCTTCCTTGCGACACTTTAGTAAAAACCAAAGCTGTGCTTTTTGCTTTAACCAAAAAATTCTTGTATTCAATAATGAAAAGAAGTGTTTTCTAGTAGTTTCCATAATAAAATGAATTACACTTCACACCAACTTTGTAAAATTTTCCAATGAATAGAGCGCCATGAATGACACAGCTTCCAAAAACCTACTCATTGAGGAAAATGGGAAAAAAATTGCAGACTGAAGCAACTTTACCAAAAAATGGGCATTAGAATGGCAGGGGGAGGGCCCCAAATAAAAGGCAAGGGGAGACAGATGACAACACAGAGTTCACCTGCCTAAATTGTGTGTGTTAACCTCCTTGCTGAATTTGTTTGCCACTGTTCCTGAACTACCATCAATTTTTCCACCAAACTTTCATTGCTCTTATTGACAAACAAGTACCTGAACATTACCGATGAAATAAGACCCTTCTTGACCCAGACCAAGCATTCCCTTCTAGACAGTCATGATCACCACCACATCCAGGTATTTATCAACTTGCATCCGAAATTGTAAATGATCTCTCTCTCAGTTTGGCACAGATTCTTCCATTAATTCTATGCTCTTGCAAAGTAGTTTATAAATTTACACAAATAAATTGTTATTTAACTTTTAAATGCACAGTGGAGTGCATTAATTCCAGCACACTACTCTCGACTTTTCCCTCCATCCTGAACCTAACTGTTCTCATACGTGACCACTGCCACGTATGAGAACTCTGTCAATGTTAAATTCAAGCAATTGCTGTAGAAATTTAAGAAGTCAACCCCTTTTATTTCCAATCAAATATTTATGAAGACTCTTCTGTCTCATCATCAGATGGAACATTAAGAAGTGTTTTATCTAGTTCTACACTCAAATTTGTTAAGTATTCAATCTGATGACAAGATGAAATGGTTTCAAGAAATTTCTAATCGAAAATAAATGTGTCGGCTCCTTATATTTCTACAGCATTTATTTGAATGTAGGTAAAAATGTAAAAATGCTTCTGTTTTACTGCTTTACCCCGAGGACAAACTGATAACTAATATTTTGGACTTTGTTATGAGAAACATCTCCAGCAAAACAATGTAATGATTAATTTTTGATGGATGTTTTCTCTATATTTATAGCAGTTCAATAATATTTTCTTTTGTTCTCGTCTTATGGAGTTTTCGTTCTTCTTGATATCGCCCTTTAACCTTTTCCAATCAAACTATTAATTCTATTGAAGCCTACAAATGCAAGCATTTTAAACTTTCAAATATTAATTGAAACAAATTCCTTATTTAAAAACTATATCTCTTTAATAGACATGGGTGAATACTATCCACGAATACAGTAATACCTCAACTTACGCTACCCCGACTTACGCAAACCAGGAGTTACGCGATTTTCAAATTTAGTCGATTTGTCTTTTGTTTGAGCGGCACGCAGCTCTCGATTACTCACTCCCCACACACCATTGTTCAGCTTACATGTTCGGACGTGTCGCGCGGAATTGACGCATAACTACAATTTATTTTGTGTTATTTATTTCTGTGTTTATTATATCTACGGAGACTCGAGAGACTCTATATGGTGATTTCTTGTAACCATGAATGAATCAAAAGATGAGATAAGATTAACGAGAACATTTATTAGCTTACATACATCCGACTTGGATTTTACACAAATTGCGAAATTATACCCCGACTTACGCGAATTCGACTTACGCGGTTATCGCTCGGTCCCACCTATCGCGTAAGTTTGGGGTATTACTGTACTCAAAACCTTAAACATTATGCCAATAAAAAAAATAAATTCAAATATTGATATTATGAGTATTTCTACATATGACAGGCCTTTTAGGTCAAAGTGCACTTGGTATACTGGACCTACTTATGAATATTTCTGATATAGCACTGTAGTACAGTAATGGTGGCAGATCCAGAAGTAACCAAAGGGAGACTAATTCAAAAATTTTAAATATTTGAATAATTAATAAGTGCATATTATTAATGCATGCACAGTTATATTGCAAATGGTTAAAAAAAAAAACAAATTTCCCAATTTAAATGTTTTTAAGGACAAAGTTTTGAAGTTTGAACAAATAAATTTTAATTTTTTTTCATCAACAGTATCCTCTTACATCCATCACAGAGTGTAAACTGCACTTCCAGTTTAATTTGGGGCAAGATAAGATGCAGACTAGATACTGAATGTTTCCAAATTCTTGTTTTCTTAAATAAAATTCTGCAGATGAGAATGAGAAATTATTTCTTAATCTATGGTAGATAAGTCAAAATTAAAAGTTTGAAGTTTTGTTCTTAAAAATTTAGTAAATTGTTTTTCTTCTGTTTCTGTTTTATTTTATTAATTTATTTAAATAAATTATTAATAAAAATATAAGTTCTTGAGTTCATTATAGTTTAAGGTAATAGAGTTTACTACTTGTTTGAGGTATTCAAGATCCGATTAATATTCAAATTTGCATTATTCATCTGTTTCTAATCTTTAGTTTAATCTTGTTTCCAACTAATTTGGAAGATGGCCAGACAGCCAAGCAGTTAAGATGGCAACCTATTACTCTGGGGGCCTGGGATCAAATCTGCACAGATTAAAAATCACCAGAAATTTTTTGGGGTCCCGTCCTTCACTCCCTTTTTTAACTCAGTGTCCATAAGATGGAAGGAGTTTAATAATAAATTGATTTGGAAAACGACTGACAACATGTACAAGATAAATATTTATCTTTACATAAGATTAAGCTATACGATAATTTTAAATGACCGCTCTAACATTATTTTAACATTATATTTGTGACATAAATAATTAAATCTTAAATTTTATAACTTCAATCTCCAGTCAGTCAACAATAATATGAACCTGTAAATGACTCTTTCATTTTTTAAGTAAACATCTACATTCATCGTTATGTTTCATTCAGTAAAAATTAAAGAACAGAATTAGTTTTAATCTTAGTGGCAAACCATACCTTTAGGGCAGATTCACAAAATAAAACTCCATTATTTCCAATTACTCCTATAGGATATCCATAAAGTCTTGCAAATCCTATATTCCAAAACCACTCATGAACACGAAAATCAAAACTATAGATACTCGTATTTTAATCGAGCATATGTATTAAAATCTATATTCACCAGTAACAAGTGTCTCTCCGTACAAAGCTTTAAATTCGTCGAACTGACTTCCGTCGACAATTCTAGCAATAATCTAGAGATTTATCAGATAAAATACTTGGTTTTAGTAGTTATTATTGATTTTAAATAGTTAACGGAATAAAAGCATAAACTTACCTCTCGCACATCATAAGATTTCATGAGATTGTCACCAACGATACCATATAAATCATCAAGAGGATATACTGGTTCTTCGTATGGTTTAAGTGTAACCTAAATTTTTAATACAATTTTTATAAATCATCTCTTAAAAATAAATTAATGTGTGTTTTTGTATGATAATACTTAGAAATTTTCTCCTTTTTTAAAGGAATTCTGTAATTAAGCAAAGAAAATAAAAAAAAACTAATCAAATATGACATTGGTCTAATTCATTTTCCTGTATAATGTTATCAGTATGGAGGCTAGTTCCAAAGTGATTACAAGTGGAAGCTATTGTCATTTGATTTATGTTACTAAAAAAATTGTAAGTATATTTCCTATACTGCCAAGTTCAGGAAACTGATCTTTATTAATAAAAATTATAAATAACTTTAGCATTTCTTATTTTAAAAAAGAATTTCGAAATTTACAAATTAGTGAAAAGATTTAATTTCTTTTGTAAATACGAAAGTATAAACTTACTTCAGGTTTCTTTTCTCGATTCAAGTTTTTGACGATTCTTCTTGTTAAGTGAAGGGCGTGAAGGTCGTCCTGAGCTATGTGATCTGTTACGCCCGACTGTCTATAAAATTTTTAGTTTAATTTGTAATCAATCTGTTGATAAAATTAAGCCCAAACTCGATGGAATTGCTATACATTTATAAAACCAATTTTCAACGTTTTACTATATTTCTACAGCAGTAGAATGCTGTAACTAATGCAAGTCAATAGTTTAATTTCTATATATATTAATACAAACTATGAGCAAGTGGTATTAAAAAAACAGATACCAGTCTTCTAAATTTTTCTAAAATTTTACATTTTTCATAATTAATGCTTATAATTATTATGCTTTACATTTAAAATCTGTGTAAAAGAATACCTGCAATGCAGATCTCCTCCTCCAAGATCCTCGGCCAATATTTCTTCTCCCGTTGCCGCTTTTACCTAAAATGTAATAATACATCTTCATTAGAAATTAAAACATTATAATCAATTCCTCGTAGTATAATAGTTTTTAAAATATATTTGAAATAATTTTATGGATCAGTAATGCATTAACTGTGAATAAAAATGTTCAACAATGACAATGGGGTAGTCGGCAAGAAATGGAGCCCGATTTATCTGGACTGACCACCTCCAAAAAATTTCCAGGGTTTTTTGACCCATCCAGTTTCAATCCCAGGCTCCTCCCAGAGTAATAGGCTATCACCTTAACAACTCAACCTTCTTATAAATTCATAGCATTTAACATAATCAATATTCACTGTATATAATTAAGCCATTGATTCAATTTGATATGGTAAATCATACTACAATTAAACATATAAACTAGGTGGTGATTAATAAAAATACATTTAAAATAATTTAGTTTTCTTACAACAGACACGGGTAAAATAATAAATGAATTTTGGGGTGACCATCTGTAAAGTTTTGAGTCTGGTAATATCCTGTTTTTATTTGTTAGCACTTCAGAATCTACACAAATTTATTGACTTCACATTCAAATAACATTTATATTGACTGTTTCTTCAATTTCAATATTTTCTAATAATAAATACATTATTTGTAGTTGTTATTATCAAGACTGGCATTTCTTTTTGTCATTAGGTTGGAATATATTATAAGAAAATCTGCTCTTACAAAAGTCTCTCAATCTTGTTACATTTTATAATATAACTTATTTTCTTACCAATGGAGGGCCAGCCAAGAAAATAGTTCCTTGTTTTCTAACAATGATACTCTCGTCGGACATGGCTGGAACGTAGGCACCGCCGGCAGTACAGCTACCCATTACGACGGCTATCTGAAACAAAAAGAAATGTTTATATTGCTATCTGAATAATCTTAATCGAGATATTACATACATCTCAAATAAATTATATATAAATGCAGACTTTGTCCTTGTTTAACTTCTATTAAAATGAATTTTGGAAAGATTTCTTAAAATCTTATGTTTAAATATTTTAAATTTCAGATATTTTTAAGCACAAAATTTTTGGAAATAGCACCTGATCAGTCATATATCAAATAATTTGTAAACTGTGTCATTGCACATAGGAATTATTCCCCTTTTAAATACTTTTGTAAGTTTTTTGATATAAAAAAATAGCTTTTTCACCTCATGAAGGCCCTTTAAAGTGGCTGAAAACATTTGTATTTCCATTAAAGTTTGTGTGTTGGAGTAAGTATGAGTAGTGTGCAGTGTTCTTAATTATAATAATTAAAAGTTTTCTATGAAATTTCACTAAACATAGATGGCTTGTGAAATTATGATGACAGGTCTAACACTGATGTGATTTGAGATCGAAGAACTTTGTCTACAATACATTTAAATGTTCATCATGTTTGGTTTAGTTACAGTAGAAATGCTGCTACTTCTAAAGAAGTATTAATAAACACTTCTAACAAAGTTTGAAGTGATTTATTAAGTTTGTTGAAGTCAAAAATCAAATCAGAAGAATAAAGAATATTGTAACAAAAAGTTTTCAGTCTTTCTCAAAAATAATGAGACTGTTCATGAGATTGTGCTCCATATACACCAGAACAGAATAGTGTAATGGATGAGTAAATCTTACAATTATTGAAAGGACAAGATCTATGCTACAAGATTATGGACTGCAAAAACATTACTGGGGAGAAGCCATTACTGCATCAATTCATCTGAAGAATTGTAGTTCTAGGATAGCAATTTCTGGTACATTATCCAAAGTAGTCTGGTTGGGCAGCAAAGTTGATTTAAGCAACCCAAGAATATTTAGATGCAGTGCTCGAATGCATGTTCCATATAAACTTAGAAAGAAGGCTGATGCAAAGTCCAAGAAGTATGTTATAGCCATTGGTATGGGCACAGTAGCCCACTATAATAGAATGGCAAACGAAAATCTGGTAAGGAGATTTAATTTTTATTAAAAATAATATGGATCAGAAGCTGACTGAGACAGTGAAACATTTAGAAAAAGCACATGTGTAAAATAATACTAATGTAATAGTAAGTGATTCATCTAGAATTCAAAGTATTGAGAAGTGTGGAAATCACAAAAAAAGAAAAAACTTTTGAGGAGATTTAAGCACCAAAAGAAATATAAAAGATACTGATACTTCTGATGATCTGGATTAAATCCCCTGTTTACCTGCATCACAGTGACTCAAGGAATAATAATATGAAATCACCAAAAACTGAAATGGTTAGATTACAAAGTTGCTCATCAAGTGGTATGTTTGAGGTTCATCTAACAAGTGACTATCTTGTAAAATGAACAAGACAGTCGCTTGTTCATCTTACAATCACATACCACATAACCATAGTGAAAGCTGCAAGTATCCCTACCAACAATTAATGCATTTATGAGTGTTTATACAGTTGGATATAGCATTTAGTACTTATTACTTAGTAGTAAAAGTCAATTTAATACATGTTATAATAATACTCGTTAGATAGCAGCAAAAAGAGTTTTGAGATATCTGACGGAAACTATAGATTACAGTCTGGCATTTAAGACTGAAAAAGGGATAAATTTTCATATGTACTTGTAATGATGCAAAGAGGCCCAATGATATAGACAAATCATACACTGGATATATGTCACAAAGATGGGAGAAAACATAATCAATTGGGAATCAAGAATGCAAAAGACTATAGTACTTTATAGCATGGAAACAAAATAATTTGCTTTGAGTAACATTACAAAAGAGGCATGCTTCGTATGGAATTTGCTAAGTAAACTCTGATGTAAATAAAAAAAAAAGTGATTTATAATGATAAAATGCACATAAAATAGTCAATAACTCAATGCAGTATTTATGAATAAAATCTTAACAATTAATATACACATATTGTATAATTTTACCTGAGGTATATTCATAGATGACATTACGGCTTGATTATAAAAAATTCTTCCAAAATGAGTGATATCTGGAAACACTTCAGCCTGCCTAGGTAAATTTGCTCCTCCGGAATCAACTGTAAAAAATTTAGACTCAACATTGTAATTACTTTGATATTTTTAAAGCATATGTAAATATAAATATTAAAATTTCTGAATAGTTTTATTTTAATTCTCTGTTATAAAATGAACAACAAATAAAATAATCAATCCTACAATCAGTATTTCAGTTTTGATCATAATGCTCATTAATTCATAATTAAATAACAGAAAAGCTCTAAAAATATGATCTAAATGTTTTGAACTTTTAATATTTGACTACTTTTGATACTATTATTATCGATTTATTATATAAAACTAGTCAAGATACAGATAAGTTTAATGACATCAAAAGATACCCAGATATAAGAGATTTTTGCACAGATCATACACCCAGAATTTTGTGTACGATCAAAGACAATTGTCAAATTTATGTTGAGTTATTTACTATGATTATCAAGGTTTTGATTGGTGTACATAATTAACGTGATGAAGTTAATTCTCTTCACAGTATCATTAAATGATGTGCATTTTATGACCATTGTAAAAAAAATACAGGTTGTTTACAAACAATCGAGCACACTTCTTTAACAAATTGTAAATAAACCAAATATCTTAGGAAGTTGTAATATATCAAATCATACAGCAGTTAAAACAGATTTTTTTTAATCAAAAAACACTTGCCTTTATGAGCCAATGTGAGCTCCATTTGTGACACAAACAACATCCAACTAAAATTTGATTTATTGCCACATATTCTGTAGCATTTCCTCAGTAACCATTTGAATACATACTTTCTAAAAAATACATACCTAAATATATGCAAGGGATATTATTTTCTTTAGCAATTTCTTGAGCTCTTAGATGTTTCTTTACAGTTAGAGGATAATAAGTTCCACCTTTAACGGTCGCATCGTTGGCTACGATCATACATTCGGTACTGCAGTAAAAAAAAAATGGGTTTAAAGCTTTTCTCTTACATAATTATTAATAACGTCACTAATAACTCCTACCCCATCACTCTTCCTATTCCTGTAATTATTCCGGCAGCTGGAACTTCTTCATTATCATACACTTTCCAAGCAGCCAGTTGCGATAATTCTAGAAAAGGAGATCTATTACATGGTTAATAGAATGTCTACTGAAGTTTAAAAATATTGATATAAAAACAGTTACAGAGTTCTTAAAATATCCAATCAATGCCAAAATTTAAAAAAAACAAAGAAAATTGAGACTTATAATATCAATTCATATTACACATCAACCAAAGCCGAATATTATCGGGCTAGAAACGGCTATAACATTAATAATTTAATAGACAATTTGGCATTAGAGTTAGGCATTAGGTGCCATCTCTTGATAAATTTAATAATTATAAATTAATTAAATAATTTAAATGATAATTTTAGAATTACTGGAAGGAGTTGCGGTTTCGAGTCCCACTTTGGGCCGATTCTTTTCTTCCAGTAATTCTAAAATTATTATTTAAATTATTTAATTAATTTATAATTATTAAATTTATCAAGAGATGGCACCTAATGCCTAACTCTAATGCCAAATTGTCTATTAAATTATTAATGTTATAGCCATTTCTAGCCCGATAATATTCGGCTTTGGTTGATGTACAGCTTTAAACGTATCGGGCATAGTAAGGATATTTGATTAATTATATTGCAGTATCACATAATACTTAAAATAAGAAAATTCAAATTTCCAGTCAGTCATAAATAAAATTTTAAAAATAAGTGAAAGATAAGCATGCAATATTGTGAAGATTTGAATCAAATTAGAATCTGTCTCTCTTGTGGTTTGCATATTAAATAAGATAATATCTACTACTATACTTCTAATGGCATGGAGCAGAGGAAGAAAACTTTGTCGTGGTAGGAATAATGCCTAACAGAAATATGTGAAAGCTGGATTTTCCAATGAAACAATATTTTATTTTGCATGTTTTGTCTGTAACTAAAATACTATAGTTATCACCCTTCTATAGAAAATATAACTGTTACATTACATTAAGAATGCCTATATTTAGATAAATATGTAGGAAAGACTTGTAAGAAAACTTAGTTAATTTATAATAAACCTATTTTCTCAATTTCTTTTTATCTAAATACATATCAAGGTTTCTTCTTCATTACTGGTAGGTTTGTTAGATTGTAGTCAGAGCATTAACTACTTAAAATTTCATTCATACAAATGTGCTCTTGGGTTTTAGTTACCCATTTAAAAGTTTTCTTACCTTACCTTACCTTAATACTCAGCTTACCTTAATAATCAGCAAACCTACAAAAATATTAAAGGTAAGTAACACATATCAAGCTTATAAAAAGAAATCATATAAGTATCAGTAAGAGTCTGGAAGAGTTCAACATGGCTAATGAACCACACTGTGGCTACCAAGGGCTCCAATAGTAATCTCCAATAATTGTTTTGATCATAATACTGTAAAATATGTATTGTCTTAATTAGGCACAAAAAGCAGCTCTGAACGAGATAGTTGGGAACTAAGAGACTCCAAGCTATAGCCACGCACGTGAGTAAAAACAAAGTCAAAGAAACTGATGCTCTACATATGATTCTTTGTAAGCTACTACTGTGATAAAAAAGTATAAGGAATGGTTCATTTAAACTACAGTGCACATGCAAGAGGAGCATGATATATGCTCCAATAAGGTCCCAACAGCCTCAGAGTTGTGTTTGTGCCCCTAATTTTGCCGATGTCTTGTTTATGTTTGTTAATAATCAAAGAAGCTCTATAGAGGCTTTGCTGTGGCATCCCTTTGCATGTAATTTTTAAAACAACAACAGTTATTATTATTATACGACAATTTACAGACTTATTACAAGTATTATTGTATTAATCTTTTATATATATATATATTTTTTTTTATCAAAATCAATATACTTACCCAGGATCTAATAGATTATCTATTCTGTCTCTTACTAAAATTTTTCCTTTAGAAGTATGCCTAGAAATAGCCTTCTCATCACCACCTAAAAATATATTCTGGTAAATATCTAATCTAACATATTGCTTTTTTATATGAAAAACTATTTACCTTTTATAATATTGGAAACGTTTGCTTTTAATTCATCTACAAGATTCTTCATATTTTTATAATTTTCCTAAGGATAAACAGATATAAATATTAAATGTTTTATGTTATATTACTATAATATGTAATGATAATAGCATACGGTATTCATATAAATAATTATAACTAGGAGATTTGTAACATATTGTGTTCTTGTTCTTAAAACAAGAAAAAATAACTCCATAATAAATCAAATCATAAAAAAGCAGACACAAATATAGAGAAATACAGAAGAAGAGCTGTAGAGTAAGTACAGGAGTAATTGAATTATCTGAAAATAAAAAATTCAATTCATAAATTCAAATAAAATGCAATTAACTAAGTAGTAAATTGACTATAAAGTATAATTTTCAAAATACAGTAGAACCCCTCTAGTCCGCCCTCGGTTAGTCCGTCACTCCGGTTAATCCGACCGTGGTCGGAGTCGAGAAACTTGTCCCGACTCGTCGGTGACTCACCATCCGTGGCGTTTTTCTGTGTTCATTACAGTATATGTTTTACATTGTGTGTACATGTACAGTTTTGTGTGTGTTTTTAACATGTCAGGAGTGAAACGTAAACACGTTACTCTTTCATTAAATGAAAAATTAGCAGTGCTACAAAGACTGGACAAAGGGGAAGCTTGTTTATTTTACTTTTTTTCTGATAATCCGACCTTTTTTGCGTTCCGACCATACCCCCAGTCCCAAAGGTGATGAATTAGAGGGGTTCTACTGTACAATCAAATTTTGTAGGTGTTCATAAAATAGGTTTAAAATATGCTGTCAAAGTTCCTTTCATTACATTCTGATGCATTACTGAAGAATCAGCAGGTTCTCTATTGGAGGAGGATAAACTTTATCTTTAGTTGCTCCCATATTACAAAGTCTAGAGAGTTATAACAGGACCATTCAATACCACCTTCAGCCTTTTCTGGTACATATAGAGCTATCAATCTTCTTTGAGATTGTCAAACACTTTCTGATTGCCAATTAACCCTCCAATAAACTCTCAAATGAACTTGTTTCTAACAAACTGTTCAAAAATTACAGAATTCTTCCACTAGAACATACATATGCCCCACTCTATATTTGTTTGTTTCAGGAGGACAAAAATCCAATGACTATCAAAGCACGCCAGAACATTTTCTACTAATATGAATGGATATTACAGCAAAATAATGTATCCATTCATAGTTCAAACTTTAACTAAGTGTGGGTCCAAACAGAAAATATCTGTATAATGAATTGGCAAGCTAGAGACCCAGTGGTATGGGATATTGGGATATGATCAAAAGACTGAAAATCTTAAAAAAGAAAGCAAGCATTGTTGGCATAATTTAGAAGCTTAAATCTTACAAAAGCCTTGCACTTCCAATGAGTATAAGATGTTTAAAAATGGTGGTAGAAATATTGGCCATTAAGATTGTATTTGCTTTTAGTTTGAAGCCAGTTTGTCCATACTTTTGTAACAACTATTTTACATTGTTTTTCATTTCCTTTAATAATATGCAAACAAAACAATCTACAGGTTTTTATTTCTTAAAACTAATTGTTTACAAATAAATATACAGTTCCATTTTAAAAAATTGCATTTTATTATTACACACAACCATGTCATATTTGAGGAATTGCCCAAACTTTTGTAACACACCTTATATTCTGTCTGCATTATTTCTCTAATAGTTTCATTTTTATGTTTTTTAATCTGGATATTTTGCAGATTTCCTCAGGTAACCCATTCTACCATATCAGTAACTTATTTATATTTCACATTTTACCAACATATAATTACTGTTGTTTACTTTATATTTACAACAGATACTTTACATATACAACAGAATCTGCTTACTGTCATCACCAATATTGTTATCGCTCATCTATTATCATTAGAACTAGCCCATTCCAAAGAATATATAAGTTAAAATATGCTTATAAAATCTAGTTGTAATCAGAGTTTGTCATATTAATCATTATCTTTGGGTAAACAGTTATTTTTAAGCTATCTTCTCGCTGCTAAATATGCTATCGGCCACGTACCGCAGCCAATAGCACAATCATTTTAATCATTATTTGCTCGCATTACAGTAGTTTAAATTGCAAGTGTTTTATACTTCAATTATATGCTGGATGAAGTATTATTATATAATAATAATATTAAGTATGAGGTACTACAACTAAGAGAAGCAAGTGGGGCATATGTCTTGAATAGCAGATACAATGGGACCAAGAGGAGTAATTATTTATGAAATTATTTGAAAAATAAATTATAAGGGATAATTTATTGGCGCCAGACAAGGGGGTTCCGAGAGGAAGACTAGAAGTGGCACAGACTGATTCATCATGTGTCATTAATCTCCCAAGCTTCCAAAAGAAAAGAGTAGTTGCCAGGATCTATCTTTGACATTACTATGTAAAATTTTAATTGTTTTAAACACATCCTCTTTAATGTCAAAATCAACAAAACCAGAATTTACAGTAATTGTGGTCTATGTACATATATTGTATATAAACAATAAAGATATAAAGTAATTTGACTAGGGATAGGAAGTTAGACCCCATCTCATAATATAATTTAAAATGTTCTGGCAGAAAAGAATCAGCCTGGAGTTTGACTCAAACCCACAACTCCTGCTTACTATCAAATAGGTTGCCAGTTATGCTACCCGGACCTCCGTACGATCTTCACTTCCAGAATTATTAATTTACATATAACCATATTGAACATATATTAATTATAAATTAAAATTAATAGCTCAATAATATGGCAGACTGGTTGACATTAACTGTGATCTTATTAGTNTATAGTAAGTTTTTCCGGAAGGAACTTCCCTTAGCAGATCGCCCATGTGTTGCTTACACCAAACCAAACCATTGGTTTGGATTAGTGTAAGCAGCACATGGGCAAATTTGCACCAAACCAAACCATTGGTTTGGTGCAAAGTTGCCCATGTGCTGCTTTGGTTTGGTGCAAAATGCCCTTTGCACCAAACCATTGGTTTGGTTTGGTGCAAAGGGCATTTTGAATGCCATGTATGTATATTTCGACACAGGGAATAATGGTGTATTGTTCATGTTTTTGTCCTTTTCAATTTCTTTTTTTTCTTCATAAAAATGAGTGTTTACATATCTAAAGCCAGGTGTTTGTAAATCAGTCGCTGCTAACATTTATGAACAGAGATTAATTTTTCTCAATATAACTTACTGGCACGGATGACTATGGGAAGCTTATGCTTCTGCCGGCATTGAGATATGGTTCATCGGAATTACAAAGCTCTCTTACTTCCGGAGAATTATTATGATTGTTTTTAATTATAAATTAAAATTAATAGCTCAATAATATGGCAGACTGGTTGACATTAACTGTGATCTTATTAGTTTAGTGAGTTAATTCTCAAATTAGTAAGTTATTATAATCAATATAGAGTGATTACAACAAGCAGATTCTATAATACACGTGTGTATAAATAAATGTGATTTCTACTGAACATTGAACACAAGTAACAGCTTAAATCGACAATTAATATTGTTGAATTAAAAGCATAAAAATTCATCACGTACAGTAGAGAGGTTGAGGCACACGTTTTAAACGTGTAAACGTGTACGTGTGACGTTCGGCGCCGCTTTCCCGTAAGCCTAAAAGTTTGACAATGATGTTTGGATAGTTGGTGGAATCACGCTCGACATTCCAAACACCATCGTCAAACTTTTAGGCTTACAGGAAAGAGGCGCCGAACGTCACACGTACACGTTTACACGTTTAAAACGTGTGCCTCAACCTCTCTAGTATATAAAAAATAGGAATATAAGTGAAAGATTTGTGTAGTTTTATTAAAAAGATGCAAATATTCGATAGCAAAAAATACATTTAAATATTTTGAATCAATTTATTTTTATCGATTAAGAAAACTCATAATTTACTGAACTTCTACATAAATCTCAGTTATAAGTTTACACTGTCGATTGTTACTCTGCTCCATGGAGACTAAGAGGGCCTCACAGGTTTGGCCAGGCCCACAACGGGGCAGCCAGGTGGCGAGAGAGAGGGCTTACTGTATTCAGACGAACCATCCTCCGAAAAATTCCAGGGATTTTCCAATCCGTTTGAATTTAATACCGAGTTCCCGAGAAGCCAGTGCCACCTTAACGGCCATCAAAATGCAGATGCTAAAGATAAAAAATTCAGAGCAGAAAACCAACGTGTGGTAAGGTATACGTAATGAAAAAAAGCAGAAGAAATAGATTAATAAATTTGCAATAAAAGCACGTGACCGAGTGACGTCAAAACTAAGTCTCACGACGTTTTATATGCGTCCGCCAACGTGATACTCCGCGACGAAAACAAGCTTATACGACGACTCTAACGATGTAGAGTTGGTAAATAGATCATCGTCTTTTCTTTACAGCGCTTTTTCTACGCATGGTCCCCAAAATATTCTATGTTTTGGAAATGCCTATCGAATACGTCTCTGTTACGTAATATACTACTTATGTGTTATCATCATAAAATCATTCAGTAGTAGAAGTTACTTTTAGATACTTCGTGTATGGAAGTACGTATAGAGTAATTAACTAAAAGTAACTTCTACCGCATTCAACAATACTGACCTTATACTCGTTGGAATCTCTATCCGGGGCCGATCCAATAGGTCTTATTTTATCCAAAATATGACCGTGATATCTAGCAACGCGAACATGATTCACATAAGATACACTTAATAATTTTCTAAATATCATTTTCTTGGTTAAAATATCCAAACTCGTATAAACATGGTTAACATATGATTTATCTTTCTTATCGCCACCTGGCGTAATAAAATGGAAAAATTAAATATCCAATTTCCTTCTTTAGATTATTTAAAAATTAATTTTAACGATTTATAAAAGTTTATATTAATTAATTCCATAATAAATAAATAAAATAATAAAATCTTTCCATTAATTAATTATTTATCCTATTATTCTTCTCCGTTTTAACGGCCGGATGACAGAGCGGTAAACATGGCAGCCTACCGCTCTTGGGACCCGTGATCGGGTCCAGACGGGGTTGGACGGCCGGTGGCCGAGGGTTAACTACAATACTTAATAAAACAATACGAAGTCATATGTATCAGATAAATGTATATATTTTATGTTTGTGTATAAAAAAGACAAGTAGCTTATATTTTTATACTCATATTTGATTCTATTTAATAAAAACGCTTTTTTGTTCTAGGTTCAAAAGTAATAAAAATTCAATATAATAGAATGAAGTGGAAGAAACATTAGATAAGAAAAATTCAGCTTTATGTTTGCTTATAAATATACAAACCAGAAAAAAAGTGGAAAGACTTCTATATATTTCATAAGAAATTATACAATTCAGCGGTGGCAAACTGGTGGCCCGCTGCCTTGTTGATTTCTTTTCTCAAAATCAATGTTTTTAAACATTTTGCAGGAACTAAGATAAAAAAAATTCAAACTTTTTCCGTAAGTCGTAAAGGCCTGGCAACAAAAGGGCCTTTGTTAGAGCCTTGATTTTAGTTTACAGTATGCTTTGGTTTACCGAATAATATACGGCCTGCCTTTGATATGCATGTATTTGACTGGCCATTTGCTGTGTTTGAGTTTGAGATCTTGGTTTAAAATGCATTTTCTAATTTTGTATATTTTTTTATATATATTATTTAATGGTGAATTATCATCTCTCTATGATGTATGTAACAAGAAAGTATAATCATAATTAATAATTAATTGATTATCGCTCGCGTTGCGCGCCGCGCAACAATACGTATTTCGTATATTGTTGCGTTAACAATATATGCTAATAATAATTTTGCGATTGTCAAAAGCGAGTTTTTGTCGAAGTTATTATTCGATACGATTTTATTTTATACGATTTAATTTTAAATATTTTTTCAATCTTTCTGAAGAACACTAAAAGCAGAGAGCCATTAACGGGGTCTCATTAAACCTACCGAGTGAGTTAGGACCAATTTATAAATGGTGAAAGACGAAGTTTGACGTATCCGAGACATCGCGTGAAAAATTTCTGGGGTTCTTCATATTCATATTCGAACAATAAGATGACGTTTATCTTTTCAGCCATTCGACTGTCGGCTTACGTTAAAATTAATTATATTCTGATATATAACGAACAGAATTAAGGACAAGTCCCGAGCACCGGAGCTAGGACTTCACCTTCTAACGTGACGCTTTCGCTTTATTAAATCTCTTTTTTTTCCATTTATGAATTTGAAATCAACTTGCTTTGATTTTAATTGTTTTTTTTAGATGTCATAATTAAAATTTTATTATAAGAACTCCAGTTGTAGCCTCAAGATTACATCCCTTACTTCTCTCCTCGATTATCCTACAAAGAATAGGATTTTTCAAATAAGAAAAGCTTGGCCATCATGACTTTGAGTCTCCTAGAAAAAACAAAGCATTGACAAAAAGTAAAGATTGTATTGCTTGTGGATTAGTAAGAAATCACAATGAAATGAGTGAATTGGTTACCCCATTGTGGGCTAATCCACAATGGGCTAACCCAGGAATGAGCTTGATTAAAAGTCCCTCTTAGCGCCCACAGATCGAAGTCTGTAATGTGAGGCTCTAGTTAGTTTAATAGTTTTGTTTTTAAAACAAAACTATTATTAATTAATTAAAGATTATTATAAATGAAACTGTTGTTTAGTTACTCGTGAATTAGAAAATTTAATTAACTAGAAAATAAGTAAAAATAATACAAATTTTAAGTTAAGTGTTAAAATATGAAGGGCGAGATGAGGTAACATCTTAAACCAAGCATTTTTGAAAACTACAGAAAAAATGAAATGCAACACATGGTAATCTGCCAAGGGAGATACCTACCATAGCATTTTTTGTGGGGAAACTGACTTTTCTTTGTATCAGACACATGAAGAAAACATAGAAAACACATGGCCAGTCCTTGGTCCGGTGTGAACCCACAACAATGTATTAGTGTTCAGTGGTTTTAAACACTAAGCCACTGGTGGGCACCTAGGTGCATGTAACTTACTTCACAGACAGCCAGAGGGTGAGTAGCTAAGGTATTAAGGTTAATGCATTTGCAATTCTAGTTACTTCTGAGCTCTCCTCCTTCTCTTCATTGTTTACCAGTTAGAAGATTATAGAGAAGAGAGAAAGTTTAATAAAACTGTTATAGAGAAGTGAAATCTGTAGGAATTCTATTACCGTGGGACAGAAAATGAACATTAAAATGATAGTTGTATGTTCATATAACTGAAAAATTTTGTCATGGGTCCTATGGAAATTGGGTTAGGAAAAATCTCAAATCATTTTTAAAAGGCTCCATTGTATTGATTTTCCTGACAATAATTCTGTGCACTATGTACAAAATTGTTGCCAGGAAACATACTCAAACAAACTAACAAAAACACAAACACTAGACCCACCTGTTTTATCTTTCAACTGTTGCTACATGGTTACTAGAGAGAAGTAATGATAAAAAAGTGTTTCAACAATTTGTTAACTATGTACTGTACTGTACATATAGCCTAAAAGACTAAGTAAAAATCTAGTCTGGTCTAAGATATGGACAGACCAGAGATTCCTAGTCACTATTAACCTCAAGCAGTTATTTAATTTATATGAGAATGGATAATTTACTAGGGAGTCATTTGTGAATTGACGAACAAATTTAATTTAAAAATATAATAAAAACAATAACACAGTATATTATAGTAATTGATATATCTTTATATTTTAGTGAGCAATACAGATTTGAATTTTGATTTATGTTCAATGAAAACATTTTATTAATTCCTATTATCTTTGTACCAGTATAAAACAGGATAGCTTGCTTAAATACAATATTGGATAGGGCTGACAAGAAGTAAAGGTTGAGAACCTCTGGTTTAGACCATTGTCTATGCCAGTTAAATGTTTTAATCATTAAAAACATTGCTCACCTTATATTTTCTGCTCAGGTTGAAATCTGCTGCAGTATAGTATCTGCCTTTATCTAAGCTTCTAGTTAGATGGAATCAAATACATTAAGTTGGTGTGATTTGATTTAAAAAACATTTTTTTTTATTTAAGTGCCAGAAGTATCAGTTTTAAAACCATATTAGTTCATAATTCTGGTCATATTTCCTTCTAAATTATTTGATATTTCGAAAGAAAACATTTTGTAATAAAAAGTTAAAGTAAATAATTCTCCTTATCAAAATTTATTTTTCAAATATTAAGATTTATAATCCATTTAAATAGTTTTAAAAATAAAGAAACAACAAATTTACAATTGCTATTAATCATTTGACTTAAGTTAAAACTCAAAACTTAAGTTCAATAATTGTTAAATAAAATATTTACAACTCTGCAAAATCCTTCGATTAACTTAACAGAGTGCAAAATTCAAACACATCGGAAAATTCAATAAATTAACGATGACACTTCTTTCCTCTCTCAATAATAAGTGATACAAACACAAAATACGGTTAACACAATGGCCAATAAAACTGTTATTTTAAACATGTTAAACAAATTTACTCAACTTTAAGAACAATAATCAATATATTGATTTTAAAATACTGTTATCTTTGTAAGAGGGTGTAACGTGTTTAAAAAAGTTGTTGTTGTATAATTTATTAATTTCTTTCCAAAAATTAATTTATGTTTAATCTACAGTTGTTCTTTAAATTGTCATGAATATATTTAATATATGACAATGACAAATAGCAGAGAAAGAAGGCACAAATATCAAGAATTTGCAATATTCGGATGAAGATGAAATATCAATTTTGGAAACAGAAAATTGCCATAGCATTTTAGTTTTAAATGCACTTTTCATATATATATAAACTTTTTTTTTGTGATTTTTTTATAGGTAACAATGATACTGCATACTACTTCTGAGTATAATTCATTCGAATAATCTTAATTCTAAATTTTATATACTCAAAATGTAATTTCTCTCTCTTTGATTTTTGCCATCCGTCGTGAACTGTAACAATAAATTGTAAAAACAGTTTTAAGTGTACAGTTACATCTCAGACCCGTAATTTGGATCCTCAAGATGACGGAAGCGGAAGCTGAACACAACATTCGGTTCCGGGATACAGAGGCAAGTTCAGTTCGTACTTGCTGGAAAGTCCGGGAGGAACGAACCGACCACCCAGCCAATGATACTTCCCTTTGAATAATTTGGCACACTTTTTGGGAGCTGTTAGAGAAATCAAAAACTCCGGCTGGAGTCCATTTGGATCGCCATTTTCTATGTCCCAACCTGAAATAAATGAGAACTTTGTTTGCAATTAGTCATCACAAATATCATTGTAATACTATATAAATTAAAACAAACCTGAAGGTATATCGATGCTACATAATGGTATATGAATCTTCATCAGTTTGTCAATGACGTCGACAAAGTCGGGTCTCACGGGTGGTTTGAAACTGAAGCCGAACAATGCATCCACCACGAGATTGTACGAATCTGTGATCAGCTGTGAATCGGGAAGAAAGGAAAGAAAGGGAATCTCCATTTCTTCACACTGCTTGGTCAAATTCTTGAATAACTGTTTGTTTGTTTGTTTGGGATAAAATACTGATGGTTCGTATCCCTAATAAACAAAACAAAATTTATCAATTTTAATTAAGTATAATCTATATGACACTGCATAAATAATACTAAAAGCACATATCCAAAGTATAAATAATGTTAAGATATGATTATGATTTATGGTGATTAGATACTCCTACTTGAATTTTTATCTCAAAAGCTGATAAATTTACTTTTCTGTAGATAATATTATCATTTCAAAGCACTAGAAACTGACTGTTGAGTTTATTGTATGTTAACTTGTTGCTATAAAGGGGATTTTGATGATTACAATTATTGTATGCTTTAAAACAACAACAACAAAAAAGATACAGATGTCTTTCTTTACTTGCATTTAAGAATATTTCTGATATAGTGGACAGACTTTACTTTCACAAAAGAAAGGGATCAGTGATAAAAAAAATCAAATACGACTCCATTATAAACTAGAGGGAGTTCAACTAAGAAACAAGTATGCAATCTGTTGAAAAGACCAATTTAAAACCCCTGGTTTGATACAAATACAAGGTCCATACAGGTTATTCCATCTGTGGTTCCCTAACTTTCCATGACCAATATTATAACATTATTCCCTGACTTATTAACATCTTTGCATTTTCCCTTTTCATTATGTAATATTTGGCCAAGTCTATTTAAGCCCATTCTGTACACAATTATGTAAATTTTTGTATTAAAACACTCTTTATTGACTTACAAAAAACTTCACATAAAATCGATTATGTAATTATCTACATCATATAAAAAATTCATGATTTAATTTGGACTAATCCGTAAACTGTATTTAAATAAAATAAAAAAAAACACTCGCGTGTGCTGTAAAATCGAATTTTCTTAAAGACAGGAGGCGGGAAATTCAAAACTAATTTAAACAGAAGAAATCGCTTATCGTATGCTATTTTTGGTCTAGCACGGACCCATTCGAGGTCATTATATATCTTCCCATCTTTTCCCGAAACTTAATTCCTTTAAAATTTTTCTTTCCAATGATATACATTTGTTACATTTCTGTTCGTATTTCCACAGTTATTGGCTTATAACTTTACAAATTATATTTTATCAGTTATTATTGCTAAATAATATTGAAGATCTTGTCGTTCTGTATAAATCAAGACAAATCTCGACGTCCTATCTCTTCGCCATCCAAAGTTTTGCTGCCCAAAAACCACACCAAATCACCATTTTCGGTGTTCACACGTAACCGCTACCCCTTGCACAGCTGCACACCCCCACTATCACCATTCTAAATATGGATGTAAACCTCCTATCCAACAAAATTTAAATTGTTAGATTACCATTTATAGTTTACGAAATATAAATGCAACAAATCTTGCCATTTGTTTGGTCGCTCCAGTTTTTGTAGACCTCCTTACACTGAACCAAATTTAAAAACATGTTCAGATCAAAAAGGAGCATGAGTGACAGACGGATTCCCAGACTTTCCCTGATTTTTAATGCAATTCCCTGACTTTTACTGCTAAAAATCTTATTCCCTGATTTTCCAGTTCTGTACGGACTTCTGCAAATAGGATGAAGGTCCAGAATATCTGGACATTTTTTTGACAGTAATGCAATTTCTTGCATTAACCATTACCTTAATTGCAAATTATCTTTCTGAACTTTTAAAGCTGTAATAATAATCAATTAATTGTGTGATTATTACAGATAAATAGTGAAATTATGCATAGAAATTATTAAAAAAATTTAGGATGCAGAAAAATAATATTGAGAGGATTCTTATAAGAGTTTGCAAAAGGATACTTAGGAAACTTTAAGAGGTACACAAATGTCAAAGCTTTGGGAAATAATGAAATGGGTGACAATGATGATAATTATTCAGAAGGCCAGATGATCACTCTAGGGAACTGGGATTGAATCCAGATAAGTCGAAAAACTACAGGAATATTTTTGGGGAGAGTAGTCTATCCCAATACGTCACAATCTGATATCTCCATTGACTAAACCTATAATAGGCTTGATAAAAAGGTCTTCTTAGTGCTGACAGAGTGTAGTGTGTCAAAATAAATAAATATAATAATAATAAATCAACAAGTACACTCCACTTGCGCTCAAGAAATAAGACAGATGTGGGGGATGGATAAGGTATTTATTATACCTGTTGTCCTCTCTTCTACTGGTGTCATACCACATACTCTAAAGTCTAGAAATATTACACTGTAATAAAAACATATTTATGGCACTATAGAAAAGTAATATTGAATGCATGTCACATTGTTAGAAACTTTCTAGGTGTTGACACACACACCAATAACACGCCTTAATCTTAACTTGTTTGTGTAGCTATGCTTTGACTTTTGTCCGTCAAAGAACTTGGCACCAGTATCAGTTGAGCATGACATTTGCAACATAATAATAATAAAGTCACTGAAAATGACCAAATCAAAATATTGTGGGATTTTCACATTCAAACAGACAAGGTATTGGCATACAACATACCAGACATTACCATCATTAAAGAGAAACAAGTATGGATAATTGATGTACCATACCAAGTGACAGCAGAATCAAAGAGAAGGAACAGGAAAAACTCATAAAATATCAAGATTTAAAGATTGAATTTCAGCAAATCTGGCACATACCAGCCTAAATAATACCTGCGATGATCAGCACGCTAGGTGTTATACCAAAAAATCTCCACCAGCATTTAAAAACATTCAACATCAGTAAAAATCACAACATGCCAAATGCAAAAAGCTGCACTTCTTGGATCTGCCAATATTTTACGCTGGTATATTATACAATCGTAAGCTCCTGGGAGGGCTCAATTTGAATGTAATCTAATGCCAGTATTTGATCTTGTTGCTGTGTGTTTTTTTTTTTGTTTTTTTAAGTCAAGATAAATTATGTACATAATAATAATAATTACTCAGGAAAGAAACTGTATGTCAAATATTCTCGCCTATATTTAAAAATATTAAACAAATGCTAAAACATTAGGTTAGCATTTTATATTTTACTATTCACATGTCTTCTTAATTTTTTTAATATTAAATCAGAACTGCTGTAAAAGGTGATAAACACACTAAAATAACCTTCAAGAAACATTTCTTCAAGGTTATTTGAGTGTAATTTTTTCATACAGTGTATTCTCTCTAATCCAATCTATTCATTGTACAAAGTTGATCAGGTTTATGAAAAATATACACAGGTATGCCTCGACTTATGTCATTTTGAGTTACGTCGTTCCCGATTATACATCGTTTATCAAAAAAGTATATGGAAAAATAAAAGTCAAGTTTAAGTCATTTTATTCGACTTTATGTCTGTCCGCCACAAATACTGAAGTCGTAATGTCACTAGAAAAATGTTTAAAGCACATAAAATCATATTATAATATATACATTTACAAGTATATACTGTATTTACAGTACATGCATTCGTAAATTTAAATTACTTTTTTCTGTACTATATTAAAAACTAAAATTTATTTGTTTATAAGCTTAAAATAGATCCTTATTAACCATATATTATTAAAAATGCATTAATAAATAAAATACAGAACGGGAATTGGTAATTTATGGTTTAGCCTAGTGGCAAGTAGATTCGGAGACAAGTAAATTCAACTTACGTCGTTTTTCGACTTAAGTCGTTCTCCTGGAACCAATTACCGACGTAAGGCAAGATATTCCTGTATATGCTTAAAAATTTTTTACAGTATATTCAATATAGAATTTATGTTAAAATGTTTAATACATGTTGATTTTATAAATCATACATGAACAGTAGTAAACTTTCAATTGAAAACATGTTTTTGCTGAAATATTTAATGAAAAAGTAAACAAAAATGGTTTGGATTAGCGACATTACACCAATCCAATTTGTAAAGTGCCGCATAAGAAATAAAAATCCACAAGATTTACAAGTCTCTACATTCACATTTTAACATCATAAAAAACTGTACCGTAAGATTTGGCTGAAACACCATCAAAATAGACCAATGCTATAATTGTTGCAATAAAATTCAATTTGAAACACTTTAATATAGATAATATTAAGCCAAATCTTTAAATTATTTTCTACTTAAATAGTTGCATGACATAAAAGCATTCACTTCAGTTTTCAATTTATTTATTTAAAAAAGAAAAAAAACTTATTACCGTTGCTGAAATCTTGAAAAGATAGAAGTTGTATAAATATAAAAAATTAATTTTTAGTTCATTATTTCCTTGCATGTTTGCTTTAACTCGCCAGTGAAAAATCTGAAATGTAAATGTGATCTATAAAACCAATTTCTATTCACAGGAAAGTATGCCAAAGTTCACAAATCCCAACTCAAACACATACTAAATTACTACATTCGATTTCCATTTTCCAGTATCGAGTTTACCTAAGCTATTAAGTGTATTTTACGGTTGACAAACCAAGAAGATTCGGTAAGAAAGGCTCGCCGTTGCGACGACAGGTCAAACATTCGTAGAATTTTGATGGCGTAACGGAGTCGCCGATGAGTTAAGCTAATAATCGAACGGTATTATGACGATGATCATACAAGATAAATATAATTTAAATAAAATAAAAATTTCAATAAAAAAAAACATATAAATTAACAGAAGGAAGTTTGACTATGTAAACACTGCAGTCAAAATATTTAAGTAAGGAAAGAAAAACATTAAAAGTATATAAATAAGTAGATGAATAACACTTAAATGAATAAATATAAAATAACAATTTTTTTCTGAAGATAAAATAATGAAATTATATTTTTTATTGAAATATTTTATTATTAATTTCATAAACATTTTTCTTGCAAACAATCTTCAAATTAATGAAATATTGTGCTTTTAAATAAAATGTTTCCACAACGACACACTTTAAACCATACACAACATATTGTAAGTTCATAAACTCAAAAATGTTAATTAAAGAAAGATTTCTTTAATTAAAACTTAATTTAAAATATACAGGTTATTTAACGTGTTTACACATTTTAACATGGTTTATTAATTATTGGCAATTTTACCTGGCTGTTATAATGTGTATATAACATGGGAAAGTATTGCAAATCTTGATGTTTCGAGACCTCCAAACTCAAAACAAGTGGAAAAAAAAGGAAAATAATTCCTAGAATATGCATACGTGTGTTGTTGTCCATTTTGTTTAATATCTTAGGATTGAGAAAAGATTAAAAAAACAAAATTTGTCATAGTAACTTGTATATAAGGGGCATTAATACAATTAAATTTTGAAGTACATTATTAAAGGGGGAGGGGCGATAGAGCAGGGTTACAGATCATATATTGATTGGGGTAAAACTTAATGAAAATGTTTCTCATATGGGGTTTAAGTTCTTTTAAAATAAAGATTTTTGGACTGCAATTTGAAAAAATTGTAGACCAATAAATTCCTATTATCATCCGTTCACCCTTAATTTCGAGAATGGAGTTAGATATATGAAAGCCGAGACCAGATATGGAAAGATTAGGAGCAAGAAGCTCCAATTAACTATATACAAACTTCCGATGCAAACCAGAAGTCATGTTATTTCAATTCAAAAATTTTCACCTGAAAGAGGTTAGTTAGATGACCAACACGACTGTGTTGCTAACAGGAAAAGTATGATGTACAGGAGCAAGACGCTACTAATTTGAGGTGGAGAGCATACAGTTTAAATTAAATAAATTTTAAAAAATATGATTAAAAATTGCAACTTGGCATTGTGACAATGTCACAATAAATAATTGCTTGTATCTTATAAAATTTTTCCAAAATGCCATCTCAAATTTTAAAAAAATCTAGTAACTTGCTGCTGAAATTTTTATATTACGCATCACTCTTTTTGTATAATCCAATTTTGGAAAAGTCGTTAACAGGTGCTGTATAGAAACTTTGCTTAATGCATTCTCACTTAACATGTTACTTTCAAGTAATGTATCTATAGCAGTATCAGTGTGTATATAATTAAACACTTACTAATTATATTAGTTTTTATATAAACAATCTATAAGACAATTTGCCAACAAGTGGATTGCAATCTAATGATTGGCGCACACTTTTATATTACAAATCTTAAAGTACATAACAATTTATACTATCCAAACCAGTAAACTTTAATCATTTAACAGTCATTGCATTCAAACTGTGGAGATACAAATTATAATCTTTGAGTGCACCAAACACAAACTACTGACTAAGCTAGGTTAAGAACAGGGCTGTGGAGTCGCGTAAAAATCTACCGACTCCAACTCCGACTTTTCCTTATCATCCGACTCCGGCTAAAACACCAAAACTCCACGACTCCGGCTCTGACTCAACAGCCCTGCCAGGGCTGTGGAAGTCACGTAAAAATCTACTGACTCCAACTCCGACTTTTCCTTACCATCCGACTCCGGCTAAAACATCAAAACTCCACGACTCCGACTCCGCAGTCCTGGTTAAGAAACACTGCTCTAAAATTGTTAATATTTTAAATATTGTACTTTAAACATCAACTGTACTTTACTCTTTAAGGACAGTTATTTGTCGAAAATTATAAATTTCTGCAGTTATACGTTTGTTATTTTAGTAGCAGCTATCATATATTTTATCTGATATAAAAAGTAAACAAATAATATTTATAACGTTGTTATTTTAAACTAGATTTAAAAGTATAAAAATAAATTTTTAATTGTATAGAATAAAAATTATTTTGTTTTAATTATAAATGAATATTTTATTTTGATGTAACAGGTTATAAAAATTCAAAAATACAAAACCAAATGCATTAGATGATGAATAAAACTGTTTTTCCTTCTGTTTTATGTAATATAGAATTTATAATTAATACAAATGTTTTCACTCTTCTTGTCAAAATTAATAAATATATTACTAACAAGATAAGCAGCAGCCATATTTTGAAGTGGTTTCTATTGATAACTTTTGAGTGATGGCATACAGAATTCACAGAATACACTTAAAAAAACCCTTCTTCTAAAGACTCAAAATTGATGAATAAAATTCAATACTCACATTTTAATAACAAAATATTTTAAAACACTATTTAAAGTTCACTTTTTAAACTATATTTTGCATTAGAATTCAAAAATGAAACATAAAAATACTTTTATTTAAATTTTTAATTTTTTTTATAGAATCATATCTTCCCGACTCCTTGATAATTTAAAAATTTGAGTAACTACCATTAAAGAACTACATCAGAAAATATAAATTTTTGAAATTTCTCGCAGCTTCAGATCGATTTTGTAGCTCAGCATCGTGTATTTTCCTATGATACTGCAAAGTGGAATTTACAAATGAAAAGAAAAGACCCAAAGCAACAAAACTCTCAAACTTTTAATCAATTTTCTTATTATTTAATACTGTAAAGTTGGAATTTACGGATGAATTTTGCTTATAATTTTTAGGTTTAAAGATCTGAGCAAAGACCATTTCAGCAGTAGAATACTTGGATTGAAATTTTACTTAAATCTGCTCATTTATTACACTTTTATTTATATAAATATAACTTTGCAGGTATTGAAAACAGCAGTTTACAGATCACTGAAGTTGTGTAGTGAAGGACCCAGATAGTATTCCACTTAGAAATAATAACGTTGTCAAGTGCCGTTATCTGAATCCAACCAAAGCTTGATGAATCGGGCTAGTCCCAAGCCCAGATTAGGGAGGATTAGCAAAAGAGAGAGCAATTTTTAGGAAGAAAATTAGTAAACACACAAAGTGTGATTAATAATGCTGGAAAAATGAGAAGGAGATGTAAATATAACTTTGCAAAGCTACAAAAAATGCAAATCAATTGTAAAAACTCCAAAATAAATTTGCCAATTTAAGTTAACAATCTTTAAAACAAACAAAACAATACTTTGTTTTTAAAATTTTATATAATTCTTCTCAATAAAAATTTAATATTAGTATTAAGAAATAAATTACTCTCAATTTAAAAAATTGTGAGGATTATAGGACAATTTTCTCAATTTTATACTAATAATATCCAAATTAACTATGATATTTTAAACAACATTAATAGAATCATAATCTATTATAAATAAAACAATAGTTTTGCATCATTTCCAATACCACATTTATCAGGCCTTATGAGATCTTATAACAGCATTTGATCATCAAATTTAACTTGTGATAAGTGTTAAATATAATCACACCCAAATATTTATTACACATACATCACAAATATTAATATATAAATAACTGATCTGCATATATAATCTATAAACTTCATACGGCCAAAATTCTATATAGCCAACTTCTAAGTCTACATCATATTCTAAGTAAATAAAAATTATAAAAAACAATAATCTATATTATTTTCTCCTCCTCCTCCAGTGTTATTAGTCTTTCTTGGAGTTGCTACTTTTGACTTTATTCATAGTTCTTTCTAATCCTTCCACTTGATAGTGGATAGTCACTATACTTCAGATAAGAATCTTAATTAATTTATTCTGAATAAAATTAAATTTTCTCTTCTTTATTTTCTTAAATCATAATAACAAAATTTATTTTGCTATTATGATTTAAGAACTTTTTATCAGTAAATAATTGTTCAAGAACATAAAAGATTGGTTGAGTCTCAGTATGAAAGCTACGATTGATAGACATTTGTGGTACTCTGCTCATAGGATTCAGATTCATTGTCATTCTATTTAGCTGCAGACTTTATGTATGTATATAAACAATGTAAGCTTTTAAGAAATGTCATTTATTTATATGTCATTTTATTTGAAGTTGGCCATGGATGATGAGGATAAACAAACTCCAGCATAAATTATTCACAAAAAATCATGAGAATTCGGACCACTCATATATACAGTTTCTATGAAGACTCTATTCGTTCTAATTAGAAGTTATCTGTAACTCCTATTTACTGTTTAAACTTCAGTCTTTTTCTTAGGTTCATTTAGACATCTTCCATGTTCTGATATTGATAATGCAAAGTTATTAGAGCAATCATAATAACCGTTTTTAAGTTTTTGACAATTTTAAGGCAGAGTTGATAAATTTTCTCTTTAATAATGCCCTAAAATAAGCTGCTACATATTGTTACATTTAGGTTTTGAAAAGATTACATATTATATCTGCGCTGATTTACACTGAATCTATCAGATATATTCTATAATTGGGAGACACTAAAGACAATGTCACACATGCAGATTTTCTGACCATTCTGTACATTTCTTGAAGAAGTACAGCAATGATTCTCAACCACTGTGCTGTGGCACTTTAGTGTGTTGCCACTGCGAATACCCATACATAAGTGACGTCAGACTAGTAGTTTAATCGGTTCTACCTTCCTAGAGAAAATAACCAACTGTGTTTAAAAGTCACTGTTATGATGTCGCCGGTTGTCCAAAGTAACCAAGTGTGCTGCCAAATTTTTAAATTATTAAAAGTTAAACATGACGAAAAAAAGATTGAGAATCACTTAAGTACCGTGTCATCCAAAATGAATGCTATTCATTATTGTGCAATATAACTTTTGCAGACAATTTCAAAGCGATCCACCACATAAGACAAACATTCTTTAGTGATAACAACAGTTCCAGGAGATCACAAAACGATTCCAAGTTTGCAAACTGCAGAACATAAAACACCTTCTCTGTTACAAAGTTGCCATTTTTGTTTACGATGCTTCCTAGAAGTAGTTAACAACACATTTGAATGCAGATGGGAAATGAAACTCCAACAGTTATTATTCCATTGATCAGTATTTGTCACATACTTCTTAGATAATAATTAACATAATTACAGTTATTTAAAATTGTGGAAGACCATGTACAAAAATTTCTCATACCATAACCATTTTACAATTATAATAAAAGACTATACAAATCAAACCAAAATATTAGAAAAACACATTTTCAAAGCTGTAAAGCAGTATTCTTATAATGAAACAGTCAATCATTATATATTTCTTTTATTATATAATTCTCATTACATTTAACTGAATCATTTCTAATCCTATATTTTCTAACAGTTTATATAATATCATAAAAATATTACTTACAAACATCTTTAAGTGTCTGGCACAGACGAGTCCGTCACCTCCATTATTACCCGGTCCGCAACATATCAACACCGTGCCACCTTTGCCCATGTTTGAACGAGGGTAAGTTTTTGCAATTGCTGTAGCAACACTCAATCCCGCCAATTCCATCAACTGGTCGACGCTGTAGCAATATTCATTGAATAGTTCTTTATCAATATTAATGGCTTCTTCCTGACTGAGGAAAAAAAAAGAGAACAACATTATAATTTAATTATTCAAAAATTAAGAAAAGCAATTTAAAATTACCATTTGATGCAATTTCACTTCATTAATGTAATGAAATAAAAAACATTAATGACAAGAATGATAATTTACATAATTTAAAAAGTTTGCTGATGTAATAGTTCTACTAAATTATTTGACCTTTTTCTGTTTATAGATGAAACATTTAATTTTCTACACATCACAAGTTTTTCTTGCTCTGTTCTGTAGATAGAAGCCTCAAATCATCATGTATATTCTATTCTAGAAAACTCACCTTCACATCTGAAGGATCTCCTATAGATGTGAAGATCTTTCTGCTTTGCATTACAAGCAAAATATGACCAAAAGTATCATTCATTGTGACTATGATGGAGAACGTAGAAACAGGCTAAAAAAATTTGAAGTTATTATTTCAAAACATCCAATTCTTTCATTCTGCTTCTTCATTCTCCACTAACTCACTCCGAGTGTTCCATAAAAACACAATATTTAAGTTTTTATTGCAAATTTATTCCAATGTACTACAGAATATTACTTTATTCATAGACAATTCCATGTTTACTATTTTATTCAATACAATGAAGTTTATTAGATTAATGCTCCATTGTTTCATAAGAATAGTAAATATGAAATTGCTTATTGATTTTTGAATATATTGATGCTAATGTTCCACTTAATAAAAAGTATATGAATGGCGTATAAACTCGTAAAGGTTAAGAACCAATGTTTTAAAAGCTAGAAGCTTACTTTCCTACGTATTTTAAAACAGTTATTAGTTTTTACTGTTATATTTATTTATATTAATTTTATATATTTAAACAAATACTTTAATTATTGATTGATTGGTTAACAAGAAGCACAACCTTAGAATTACACGGCAATACACAACATCACCCATTACAAATGCTGGTTGGCATCGTATCCAAAAGGTTGGCATGTATGTGGGATAGGAAACAATGCCCAAATCCATAAAAACTACAAAAAATTATAGGGGCATGGACTGAATTTAAACACGAGTACTTGTCAACAATAAGTTTGCCTTTTATTACGTAGCTAACATTTTACTGTATTTTAATTCTTAAAATTATTAAAATACTTAATAAAAATCCATTTAAATTATTAGAAAGTAACTTCCTATAACTGAAGTTCTTTAATTAAATTATACAGGAATATTCTACTAAAAATCCAAATTTTATCAATCCAACATATATTTTTGCAAGAAATTTATCAATAAGTATGTTGTTGCTGTAAGAAAATTCCACTTCTCTGATTAAATTCATAAAAAATATATCACTCTGTCTGTTTCTATTCTTGTTTTATTCCCAAATTTCTACAACTGTTAAACTTTTCCTTATAAAAATAAAAATAAAGCAATAAAAACTATATTTTTATGCAGAGAAAGTATATATAAAAGTTTAAAAAATATCAGAAAAATTCATCTAACTGCAATTTAATTAAATTAGACCATCAAAAATTATCTTGCAACTAAAATTAAACAAGTTAATTTCAGTTAAAAGGGGGGACAAAATACATTAAAACAGAAATTATTTATAAAATGCACAGGTGGAAGCGAACATAGTTTCCGTGCCTTTTCCATTCATTAAGTCCAAAATAATTAATTTAATACCATTTTATTAAAATTCGGAGATTTGCCTCGTCACAAAATGAAATAATCGCCACAAAGGCAGAAATGAATTTTAAAATTGAAAATATTTCTAATGTTTGCAGGATACTGACAGCATATATACTTTATTCGCATTTCTATTTGAGTTCTTACATGTATTTCCTCTTATTGAAGGAAGAGTTATATACAAGTCGACCCCTCCTATAACACTGTTCATAATTCCGTTTTATATGAATTCCATGTTGTACGAGTCACTCAGATTTTACAAATACGTGTGTCAGGCTATGAACGGTTCATGTATTTGTAAAATATAAGTGACTCTTACAACATGGAATTCATATAAAACGGAATTATCAACAGTGTTATAGGGGGTCGACTGTACTTTTCGGATCCTCAAACCGTGACAAAGCCCAATAACATGTTTATTTTGCATGTAAAACATTAAAAAAAGCATAGTTTTCAACTGAAAAATGTAAATTTTTCAAATTTCTAATTAAAAAAACAGCCAGAAAGATAAATTTTTAGTACCAAACAGTGATTTTTATCGGATATTAAGAATTAAAAATTCCTTCTTGATCAAGAAAAAATGCTGATATATAATCAATAAAACTTGTGGAGACCATAAAATCACTCTTTTTCTCTAATTAAAAATTCGATGAAAGGTTATTAAGAGCGCTCATCTACTTTAAAACTAATTATAATAATAAACGCAACCAGCTAAATGATTAATTAACTTTTATCGACTTTTTAAAATTTTTTTCTGGTGTTGTTATAAAACGTATTTCTATAGGTTATAAAATTCTGGTATGCGATCCGCGAAAGAAAAGGATTGGACGGTTTAAATTAGCACTTGTTTCATGTCATCAATTATTTCAAGTTAATTTTTTTTTAATTTTGAAATAGATTTCAAAATAAACCAATCACAAGGCTTATATACAAATTTTCGAATTTTTATAATTACCCACAGTGCAATGGTTTTCGAAACAAACCAATCACAAAGACTCCAAATTCAAATTTTCGCATTACCCATTTCGTCATCGATTTCACTGGGGGGAAGACCAATAGAATCGCTCCAATTTCTTTTTTTGAATTTCCGCCATTTTACCTACGACTTCCGAGTTCGTAGAGTGGATTTGGCAGTTTTCTTCTGGAATTTCGTGACGGAAAGGCTCGATTTTCTTAACGTTACGTGCGCGTTAGAATTAAGGAAGAAAGTGAAATACAAAAAGCAAGAATGAAAAATGGCGATGATTATGCAAAAATAGTTTGAAGAAACGTCTATTAATATGAATACGCGGCAGTTAAAGTAGAGAAAATATGTTTACTCACACGCGTTTATGTAGTGGGAGTAACAGATGCAGTTAACATATAATCGATACTGAAAAATTGCAGATGTAAGAGTTAAATTTAATAATGAACATGCCCAAAAATAGATATATATATACCAATTTTATAAGCACAAAAGTCAACATTTCAGTTGCTAATTATAACAGAAACGGTCCGTTAATTTCCGCAGAGGTAAATGGCGATGATGATAGAAATGAAAGTATAGATAAATGCAAACGTACGAAAATTTCCTTTAGCAAGTCGCCATGGCAACAAAACCCATAAGCGAATATTTTAAGCATAATTAAAGCTTTCACACTGAAAGAAAATTAGTAATAAAATGTACAAAACTTTCTTTCAGTTCTAATCGGACTCGACATTTCTAACTCGCTCTCCTACGACTTTTCATATATTCCTTAGTTAAAGATTAAAATCGTTTGATTTTTCCATAAACCAATCAAAATTTCTCTTTTAATCGCTTCTAATAAGCGTTCCGTTCTAGAAATATCAATTTTTCTATAAGAATTTGAATCCGTGGAGCGACGGTGGCGCTAAAACGGCAACTAGCGAGTTAAATATGACTAAACGGTATATATTTCGATTGTGTTGAGTAAAACGACTGCGGAGTGTCTCCCGAACATAATCCAAATCGATTTAATTTGCTGTTTGTTGTCGTGTCGATAAATAACAGGTTGTAATAATATCATATACCTAGATTACTGAACTAAACTGGAGATTATCGCTTGATGAATTTTGTGGGGGGTGCTCGGTTTTCTAATTAAAATACTCTAAATTGCAAACTAATGATATTGATAAAATTAATTTACTAATTAACTAATTTTAATCATTATTTTTTTTTTACATTGTCAGTCGTTAGCAGCGCGTTGAATAATACGGTTTTTACAGTGGTGGTGTGATTTCGGGGGTGTAAAATGATGGGGGAATTTCCCCTAAATTACTACATCGCTCGATAAATATGGCTTCATCCCCGGAGCGTGTATAGAAATCCCTAAAAATAAACTAGCCACAGATCTAATTGAAAATACAGGAAGATAGTTTAAAAGCACGCTTGGCTAACTCTAGTCTTTAACGTTTTGAATGATATATAACCCAGCATAACAGAGAAAAAAAAGGGGGATTCGTTTGTAAAAATCATCGATCGTGCGTAGTTAACAACAAAAGTCCATTTGCAGTAATAGTCATTAAAAAAGAAGCAAACAAAAAGAAAAAAAAATTGCACGTAATTCGTTTCGGAACGAAGAGGAACTTAATTAGAATTACGCTTTAAATAATTAACGTCAGATCGTATTACATAAAAATAAAACATGGCCAATTTATGCAAATCGAAGTAATTGACGTAAACAAACAAGAAAATTGCGTTTTTGTGTATTTTAAAATTTTTTTTCCTCCTTTTAATGTTGCGCTCTCTTAAGTGCGGGTTATACGCGACGGCATCGGATTTCCCGTTCTTCCCTACTTCTAAGCCGATTTAAAGGTATTTTCTATTGTTAACTGTATCGAGCATCTTACCTGATATACAACAGGTTATCAGCTTTAACTAAATTAGTTTCTGAATAATCGGTTTTTCCACGATCGACACTTATACTCTTAGGCCTTCTACGAAACGAGAAACGACTTGATTTCTTGTCACTCTTCTCCATCTTTTAGCTGCTATATAAATATATATATATATATATATTTAGAGTTTCTTCATCACAAGCCGACCAGCCGACTCGTCTGGTTGTCTGACATGCTAGGTGAGATGTGGGAGACGTTGGTTCGGGTCGATGGAGAACAGTCCATTAATAAAGCCAAGGGACGAGAAACCAGAGATGGGCTTACGATTGTTATTTAAATCGTTTATCTACCGTTTCCACCTCGAGTAAACTATGTTACGCTATATTAAAATAGAAGTAAGAAGCGTAACAAGTCGAACGAGAGCCTACGGTTACGAAAATAGCGAAGAATTCTATAGAATTATTAAAGGATACCTGTCTTTACAGGTATAAATGATGCTGTTACGTAGCAACCGTCGGTCCCATCTGGGATGAGGATAGGAGGAAAATAAAAAGGAAGAGAGGGAAGAAGAAAAAAAAAAAAGTGTTTCTAAAGCGAAAAGTGCCCTTTGATAACCCGAATGGAAGATCGAGGAACGTTGCTTAGCAACCAAAGGTGCTAAAACGTTTGATTACCGAAACAGGTGCAAAGCAAATGGAGTTCCATTAAACACAGAATTGACCAAGTTCACCTTATTTACAGTACATACAAATGGAAAATATATAATATATATATATATTTTTTTTAAACTTTAAAATATATTTGTAAAAATACATTGTTTTTTTATATATATATATATACTATAAAATAAATATGCATGTTTTAAATTAATTATACATGCCATTGAATTTTTAACTGGTTACATGAGTATTTAAATTATAAACTAATGTTTTTAATTTAATTTTCCACATTCTTTTTTACTCTAGAAAAAGCCAAACTTAATATTTTTATGTAATTTTTTAATTATTAAATAAAAAAAACTGAATATAGTGATTCTTTATAATGCTCTTTTTTAATGAATTTCTGGAATATTTAATTTGTTACTATGCTTAATAATTAATTAAAAGTGTTTTAAAATAAAATAACTTAACAATCATATAAAATGTTTGATGTGTAAGTATTAAAATGCTTAAAGATTTATTAAGAATTTTATGTGATCCGATGCAAATTTAACGAGAATTTACATAAATAATTATTATTATATTAGCATAATTTTATATCATAATCTCATCTAGGAATTTCTGTTTTGAATGTTTCTATCGTACGAGAAATTTTCATTTTCCTCCCGACAAAATTAATTACCGAAAGATGTCAACTTAAACAGATTAATCCTTTTATTTAAATTTCATCTATTTAATATTTGAAATACCTTTCACTTGGTTTAAAAAAAATAACAAGAAAGGAAGCGGACAAAGTTACGCTAAATTTTCTTATAATAGTAAATAAAATTATTATAAATTTTTATTTTTAATATATCTTGAGCAAAGGAAGAGGATGGAAGAATGTGTTAATGATGAGAGATTGGAATTGAAGCAGAATAAACTAAGATTAATGGAATGCTACTTTTGCACTGACTTTAAATTTAAGCTCGGGACTGTTTAAATTACAGGAAATTTAAACAGTCAAGAGCTGTCAAAAATATGCCGCAACGTGTTGCTAGTATTTTTTTAAATTTGGAGTACCATTTTGGAAAAATTTTGTAAAACAAAAATCTTCATCATTTCAAAAGAACTTAAAAATTTTTAACGAGTCTTACCTTAGTCAAGGTATGATCTGTGAACTTCCTCCCTCTCTCCACCACTTTGAGTTCCATACTCCAAAATTTAATAGCATCACTGCTTCCTATATACAAGTTACCATGCCAAATTTCATTTTTTACTCTTTACCCCAACCTGACATAAATGAAAAACACACTCTCAAACACAGAATTTTTTTAAGTTTTTGGGTTTGGGGTCTCAAAACATTGAGATTTGCTAAAACTTCAGGCGGTAAAATTTGACACAATTACAATACCTTCCTACATTATAACAGTTGGGAAAGTAAAACTATTGAATTATAACTTATTAATAGAGTCAAATACCTCTATATTGAAAAAATTGTCTACCTAAAAAGCCACAATCTTTTCAGGTTATAACTGAATAAATCTTTAATTAAAGCTAAATAATTGCTTAGCTTTAATAACCTGGTAAAAATGTCTGGCTATTCATTTGGTATTTATCTTAATATCTATAGGTATTGATAGGGCTTGAAAGTGTCTTTTTGCAACACTACATATACCTACTACTTTCATATCTTTTCTGTCAAACATTTCAGAATGTCTAGTTACAGTTTTGCTGTAATGGATCTAAAAGAGCCATCAATTCATAATGAGGCACTAACGCCTACAGTCGCCACCAGAGAGCCTCGACAGGATGACATCAGCACTTCGACAGATTCCCGCACTTTCTCGACCTGCCACGAGACAGTTCAGGTGTGTACGACAAGAGCTCTACTACTCGACTATTCGACTAGACAAGGATTGTAGCGCCGAACAACGATTGCCTACATTGGTGAGCTGAACGTTAGAACTTATCGAATTCATGAATTTGCTTGGAGAACAGAAATATTTTACCAGATACGTGACAAAATGAGCGAACCCGTGGTTGGCCACGTGGCTGTCAAGCTTCCGCCATTTTGGTCCAAGAACCCAGCACTTTGGTTCGCCCAGTTGGAGAGCCAATTTGTCCTCGCCAATATATCCTACGATGAAACGAAATATAGCCACATAGTCGCGAGTTTATTGGAACGTATGGCTACCGAAGTTCAGGACATTTCGGCTGCTCCTCCAAATACCGACAAGTACAAAGCAATTAAACGGGCACTGATCGACCGCATGTCCCAGTCCAAAGCCCAATGTCTCGAAAAGCTTCTACATACTGAAGAGCTTGGCGACCACACGCCATCGCAATTCCTTCGACACTTAAGAACCCTCGCAGGTCATACGGTTACGGAGGACCTACTCAGAAGCATTTGGTTGTCCCGTCTTCCCACAGATATACAGAAGATACTAACCGTATCCAAGGGCACACTCGAATCGCTTGCTAAGATCGCCGACTGCCTTAGCAAATTGTACCCCTCGACATCGAATATCTCCGCCACGTCTACGGCCTCTGCCATGGTCGATCTCAGAATCGCTGCGCTAGAAGTGCAAATCACCAAACTCTCAAAACAAATTTCCGAGATGTCACGACAATATGGCCGTTCTCCACCTTGCCACCGTTCCTCGAGCTGTGGAAGACTCGATCGACGCTCCCCAACTAACACCTTCCCAAACAATATCTGCTGGTACCATGCAAAATTTGGCACGAATGCCCGATACTGCTGACCACCTTGTTCAATGGGAAAGGAGAACAGGAGTCAGTAGAGACGGCGACTGATTCCAAAAATTTAAGCCGTCGCTTATTCATCTCGGATCATACGTCCAAAGTTGCATTCTTAATCGACACTGGCGCCGATGTCTCCATTTATCCAGCTTCACGCCTTCCAAAGTGCTGCGTAGAAGACTATCAACTCTTTGCAGCAAACAGCACAGCAATCAAGACATACGGCTACGCAACAATTACGCCAGACTTCTCTCTTTGACGAAACTTTACATGGTGATTCATTGTAGCCGACGTCACACAACCATTGATCGGTGCTGATTTTTCATCTCATTATGGACTTCTCCCAGACCTTCACAGCAAACGTCTCATCAACTCGACAACGAAACTGGTCAGCCAAGGACATACTCTCAGTATCACTACACCGTCAGTACGAACTATTGCCAGCAATTCTTCTTATCACCGACTACTGAGCGAGTTTCCCGAGATAATACGTCCATCTCCAACCACCGGTCACAACCCGCTCCGGACGACAAGTACTGTCCGGACAACCTGAAGTATCGTTAACACTCACGGGGAGTACTGAGGCGCTAACGCCTACAGTCGCCATCAGAGGGCCTCGACAGGATGACGTCAGCACTTCGACAGATTCCCACACTTTTTCGACCTGCCACGAGACAGTTCAGGTGTGTACGACAAGAGCTCTACTACTCGACTATTCGACTAGACAAGGATTGTAGCACCGAACGACCATTGCCTACACATAATGTTAAAAAGTTTATAAAGTCAAACATTGTGTTTCTCTAAAATTAACACTAAATCAAATGCAGCACTAAACATCAAAAAATGAGAATTTGTAGTTTTTTCTTGGTTTAGTAATGTGGTCCTCATATAACCTCATATAACAACTATACGTAAATTTGTCCCTGCTCTGCCAAATGGCACTACAGAGTATAGACTGTATCTTAATCATAGGAAGGTTGGGCACCTAACAGTCACTGAGGACCCGAGTTAAATGCTCAGGCTCTGGTGATACTACCAATGGGGACCAACCTTCCTCGCTCTGAAGTCCAACCCTCTTACATTGCCATACTGTTTTGTGTGCAGCCTGTACTGCACTAGAATGCTCTACCATTGAAAGTATTGCTCAAACATTAATGGTCAACAAGGTCTCACTCCCCTAGATAAGGGAGACCCTGCCCAGTGCATCCACTGATAGTAATGTGGTAAAGGGACAGACTGCTTAACAGAAACAGAGTTTATGAACACAAAGTGTACATATATATGCAGCTCTGTGTCAAGCAGTTGCAGTGCATGCAGCCTGACTTCAAGCAACTTGCTACAAATGGTTTGGGTGAATACAGATTCACCCATTGATGGTAACAGGAAGCTTAGGATGTCACAAGCCATGGGACACATGGGCCACATGCCAACAGGTCCTGATGGGATCATTCAGTAAATCTGCCAGTCACTGTGCACTCTGTCTTGCACCAATGCGATCTACTTCCACTACAGATGTTGTGGTGTTCTCAGATATTCATGCATCCATCATGTCACACATTGCTGGATGATACTCATGTTACTCATGTCATGCCTACCATGTATTGGCAACTGCACTCATCGACAAACCAAATGACCATAAAGATGGCTACACTGTTTCATAAGAGCTTGCCATATTCACAACCTGACAAATGGAATATGTATTGGTCATTGCACCAATGGATTCTTTGGTAAATATCAGAAACAGTATATAAAGACACTGAACACACCTAACCCAGTTTTCAGCATTATCAATGCAATATCAGAAACATATTTAGTACTGAACAGTTCACCAATGTATACTGAAATGTTCCCAATGTCATCATGGACTAACGGGCATAAGAAGCTGAAGGAATTTCTTAGAAATAAATTATTATAAAGCAACAAATTAAAAATATTAAATGCAATACAGTAATATGGTAACATTACTAATCATTATTAATAAGCAATAAAAAGACAATGTTCAATAATAAAACAATATGTAATTGTGAAATAACTTCGTAAACATCCACTACACAATTTGCTGAGTAAATATAAATATAAATTAAATCTTCAGTATGTAACACTATTACATAGTAGTTAATAACCTCATAATTTTAGTTAGGATATAATTAAATTTGTTAAACAGAAAGCTTCTATAAATTAGTTCAAACAGACTGTAATAGATGCTTATCTCTAGCTTTTAATTAGATTAATTTTGCATCTAGGATTTTACCCCTCTATAAAAAGACTGGCTTGTATAAAGGATTATCACTTTATTCAGTGGTTTGGGCAATATATTTAATCTAATATAGATATAGTACAAATGGAAAAAAAAATTTTAAGTTTAAACACAACTAATCTACTTCATTTTAACAAATTTAATGAAGGATAAGTATAACAACATTTCCAAAATAGTTTATGATGATTCAAGAGAAAAATTCACATAAAAAGGCATAAAAAAACATTTTAAGAAATGTTTTAATATCCTGCGAGTGCTTTTGACGTATTTATAAATGTCATCTTCAGGCAGAACCAGAATCAGTAAAATTGTTGACGTAACATCCACTCTACATATTTAACCCGGCGTGAGTGAGATTGGGTATGTCATATCCGAGAAGATTTTAAACGCAGATTATTTAATGTTATTGTTGCCATGCAAATCCCGTTTTCACAGTAGCTGGAGGTAAGGGAGTGGGGGCGAGGCGAAGTGTTGAGTTTAGTGTTTTGCCGGTGTCAGCGGGTGATACAGCACAAAAATGTAACAATGGTTTGAATCCAACCATAGTCGCAGCATGCATCAGATTCAAACCATTAAGCTTATAGTTCAAGACTGATTAATAATGCTAATTATTGCATAATAAAACATTGCTAATTAATCAAACATAAGGCCTTAGTGCAGTAAGGCTATATAATGAACTATTTTCATTATTAAACATAAATTTACATTGGTATATGATCTGCTACAAAGTAGATACAAACAGCCAGTTTGCTTCCTTTTGGTGACTGTTTAACCAGTTTGATAAGAGTTGAAAACATCTCAACTTTTGCCAAACTTCTATTCATTTGACTAAATGATTTTTTACCAGTGGTATGTGGTGACATTTGATGATAAGGAAGCTTTGCAATGATTCTATCCAGAGCCAGCACGGCCCTGGATAGAATCATTGGAAGCGTTATACGATATTTTGGTGTATAGAATCCACAAACTAAATTGCATGAGGTTGGTGCTCTGTAAAGCACATGCACAAATACAGCACTTCTATTGGGAATATGCATATATGAATTTATATTCAAATATACAATAGCAATCTTATTTTTTTCACATGTAATATAGAAATTTGTAATAAGATACATAATGCGGTTATAATAAAATATTAATTTAAATTAATTCAGAGTACATTAAAATATGAAAATAATCGAACATGTATTTATTTTAGAAAATACAAGGGAAGCAGCACTTCCACAGCTTCCCTGGACAGCATGCCACTGCTTTTCACAACTAGTGTTTAAAGTCTTTTCAGACAATCATGTTCAAACTCAGGCTGTGTCATGTAGTTAAAAATCAAACAACATTTTACTTTGATGATTATTTGTTTCATTTGTTCCTATAACAGTGTGAACCTAGCTTAAAAATAGATCTGAACCATGATGAACCAGTAAGATTGGACATCTTAGGCAATATGAGGCCTTGGCTCTCACTATCCATGATAATATAGCTAACAAAAATATTAATTATTATAAAAAATGAAAAAAATCACCATTGTCATTCTTAACCAAAAATAAAAACATGAGATATTACAATTGAATAACTTTAATATCCATTTTCCATACATTATGGAGGTATAGATTGGATTAAAAGCCAGATTCTCAAAAAATAAAGATTCACATCTTACCAAAGTGGCCATTATATTCAGTGACTTCATTTATATACAAAAAACAATTTGATAGCAATATGATGGATAATATATCAACAACTCTTCAACAGTCATCTTCATAGTTATAATTTTAATAATTAAACAGATGATATAAAAATTATTTTTATATCAATTTGTTAAGCTTACACCAACCTCTAAGTCCACAGTGCACTAACTGTAGCTCTTATAGACCCTTACTGAAACCTCCATATATGTATACAATTAATTTTTTTAAATTTGGTACATACTATTTTCACATATGTAATATTTTTGTAAGTTTTCTATTATGAAGTCTAATATTTATATATATACAGATTGTAAGCATAAATTGCAACTTAACCTCAAACAGTGAACTGAAAGCTAAGGAAGCTGCATTTGTAAAGAAGATAAACAAATGTTTACCTCGCCAGTTAAAATTTCCGATAGGTGATTTATGGTTCCTATCGTATCAAGGTTTGACCACCTTTGCTATAAATACTTTTAGATATTGCATCTTAATCAGCTTTTAACATGTATAGAGAATGTTTCACATATGTGATAAAAAAGTTAGTTCTTTTCAGAATAAAGTTTAAATTTTGCAAATATTTATATGAGATTACAAGGCCAGTGCTATCCTACTGTATGTAAGTTGTTATTTCAAAATATATCCTTGGCCCTTCAAGTCATTAGAAAAATTCAACTTTACTTGTGTTGATGAGTAATTCATTTTTATATTGAAGTTGCTTTAATTGTATTTATGTGTATTTTGAAAGAATCAGCAGGGAACCTGACTTAGAAAACAAAAAACTCTTTTACTTCCATGTCATTTTCTTTGCATAAAATAAATTGTTTGGTTTCTGCAAAGTTTTTATCATAAATAAAAAGTGAAAAATTATTATTCTCTTGAAATACTTGACAAGCATCTAGTGACTGGGCACGTTCCAACTTACTCTGATGGTGTCTCCCTCTATCGGACAGTTTAGGAACTATGATATGTTCAAAAAAGAATTTAAATAAAGTAAAAAATAAGAACTAAGTGTCAGTTTTCAGTTTTATTGGAAGGAAAATTAAGCTTTTTTTCCAGAAATTTTGNTCACTAGAAAAATGTTTAAAGC